CCCCCCCCCCCCCCCCCCACACATAACATATAACATACACGTGCACCATATTGTGGTGTACACCATGCGCTGCAGTGCGTTTAGAACGCATCGCAGTGCATGTTTTACCTTTTTTTTTTTCTTTAAAAAAACCCCCCATTAAATTAACCGTGGCAGCGCATGGCAAAGCTTTGTGATGCATTGCCATGCGTTGTAATACCTTGTGTTGCAATTAAATATACACCTGTATCATTTAATCACAACACAAACACCAACACAGCTTAAAAACTATTTTTAACATAAGTCGCTTATTTACAGTTTTGCGCCCCTGTTTACACCTGATCCTTTTGTCGGAAGCAGAAAAATGCCTGTGACTGGAAAAAGTACATGAGCTACTTTTTGGCAGATTATAGTGCTTTTGGACTCCAATGGGAAACTTTGTGCGACAAAACACTTAGGTGCCATAGAAATAAATAGACTCCTTGCCTTAAGCATTTTGTCATGCTTACCTTTGAGCGTCAGCCCTGTGGTGTAACATGGCTGCTAGTTTGCATGGGTCCTACGAGTACTACTGTTGAACCTTCCATCTTCTTCCTTAAAGACAATGTACTTTAATCTAACTCTCCTCAGCCGGTGGTCTCTGCACCAAAGAAAGAAGTGTGTGTGTCTGTGTGGCAGGCAGAAATCATCGCTAGAGGTCTCTGGGGATCCCCAGGATTGTCAGCAGACAACAAAGGCTGGGCTGCTGCTGCTGATACTTGGGATGGAGTACTTCCAGAGTACTCTTTCTCAAGAGTGGAACCTGATCACCGGGTGGGATAGGTCCTCCTTTTTTGGATGATCTGCAGCCACTTGGGCAAGTCTCTCCAAATACCTTCCCTTGTTCTACCTTTTAATTAGGTGAATTTTAGCAATGAGGCCAAGTTTCCTGGTTCAACGACTGGAGGCTTCACTGGATCAGCACCGGTAAGGAGATTCCTAGAACCATACTTTCTGGGATTGTACCCTTGAATTTTTTACTGATCTCAGGAGTCACTTTGCAATTCGGCATCTAGTGGGTTCCTGGCAGGCAGGAGGAAGGAGATGTGTGGCCGACACTGTAAACATGCGCCGTGAGGTTCCGAGCAAGTGCAGGTACCTGCTGATTTTGCCAGAAATCTTGTGAGCTAATACCTTTGCGCGCACGCGTCCCTAACAACTCCTATATCCCTGTATATTCTGTAAACAGAAAAACTCATCTAAGTTTTCAGCCAGTGCAGAAGTATGGGTTATGGAGATGAGGATAGGAGTGTTCTTTGTAATGCATCAGAATTCAAGTAGGCAGGACTGACGTGTTGTGGAACTCTGAACTCGGTTATTTACTACTGACCTGAACTGCATTGTGTACTACTGAGCCCTGAATACAATGTCCCTGCCACTTACCCTGGCTGCGTAATGTCCTGCCCTACCGGAGCGCCTTGTTGTTGATAGCTTTCTGCCTGGCGGTTCTCAAACCAGGGGGGGGTTTATCTTTGAGACTTGAAAGTTATTTGAGGAGCAGGTCAGTGTTTTGGAGTGATGAGGGGTGTGTGGGCCGCCCTGGCAGCTCTGAGCTCATTGACAGAGGGAGGACATGCCTCCACCCTACATTACTTCTGAACTCTGTATTAGATTACACATCATTTTGGCTTTGCCTTCCTCCATTTTCTAGTAAAGATTTTTTTTTCACTTTTTTCCCCCCCCCCCCCTCTCTTTTTCGTACAGTACTACATACATTTTTAGATATTTGCACTGTTGTGTCTAAAATGGATCATGCACTACATGCAAACACATGGAAATTCATCATCAAGTGAGTAAACAAATATGCCTCATTTTTCATTGCCTGAAATTAAATAATAATTAGTAATATTTTATTTAATTTCCCATGAGATATTATGCTTGAATATGTTTTTTTCTTGTTTCATTTTAACTAGTTATTATGAACATGATTGTTAGCTTTATTTTCTATTCAGCTGCATTTATGGCCATGTAAACCTTGATATGTTACCCTTGTTTTCCAAGTTAGAACAACTATGTGAAAGTATATACATAGATGTAGTTTATCTCTAACAGGTTATAAAAAATATGTGGGCAAATAAGTGTTTTTTTTTCTCCACATTGATGACCGCTTACTGGCTATTGCCTCCCAGCGAGTCAATGTCTATTCCATTATTCTGTTGCTAGAACATGAATTGTATCTGTCACCAATTTTGTCTGCGGTCTGAATTGAGGAAAAAACTGCAGCAGTTATAAAATGCAGACATGTATAAACTTTATTTTTTTTTAAAATTCTTTATTGACTGAGAAAAAAGTCAAATACAAAAAACCATTGTATGTGGTTACAGAGTATGGGCATAAATTCCACGGAACTCGTAATAAAACGGATTACTCCGCATCAAGGTAACATATCCCGACTGAGAAATAAAACACATCCGAATAATCATAACAGCTTAGTACAGTCGTATGTGCATCAACCGTCCCATTCAGCCGTAACAATTCTGTACATTAAGGCTCTACGACTAAGTACTATTCTCGGGAGAAGACAGTGTCTCTTAGTTGAAGAAAAGGTAATAGCAGAAAAAAGTGGGAAAGGGTGCAGAGAGGGTGCAGAGGGTCGGGTCCCGGCCGGGTCCCACGACATCCACCAGGGTCTAGGCGCCCACAGAAGTCGAGCGCACCCTTAGTTATTCCCGGAGCTTACAAACCCTCCAGGTTCCTCATGGCAACCCCTGGGACAGAGTCCCGGTCAAACCGGCTTGTGAAGGTGGAGGGGAGTCCCGGGCAGAGATTCTATAGCACAACCATGGGCTCCAGGTGGCATTAAAGCGAGCTTCCGTGTTTTTTAGCGTTAGGTCCTCAAGTTGGTATATATCACACCCTCTATGGGGAAACGGTAAGTAATGTATAAACTTTATATCTCCGCACACAGGTCTTTGTCTTTTTAAAAGTATTAGCTCTTTCACTTTATTGCTGAAAGGCAGCAGTGTAAAATGATAAAGCTCCAGTTTTTAACCAGAAACGTTTCGATCAATGTCTAGCCCTTAAGCTAAAAGCAAACTACCATAGTTTGTGCCTAGATTAACAAAGTGCTAGACATGGCTCAAAACATGACTGGCTAAAAACAGGAGCTTTGTTTTACAATGCTCTTTTATGCAATTAAAGGAGAACTATGGGGGTTAAGGCTTTTCCCCATAGTTCTCCTTAGGGTAATGGGAGGACACAAACTAGCGTCCTCCCGTCACCCTAGGCTCAGTATACCGCAAGCTGTAGCTCGCGGTATACTAAGACGACACAGCTGAAGCGGATCCCGACAATTATGTCTGGATCCGCCCAGCTGCGTGGCTGACAGCTGGCTCTGCCTATCTAGAGGCAGAGCCAGCTGTACCCTCCCCCGTCCGTTCCGCCAGTCAGCGCTGGCGGAGTGGGGTGGGGGGAATCCAGCCCCTCCCCTGTCACGGCAGAGAGCCGTGACAGGATCGAGAGGTGAGCGAATGCCGGTATGTGTTCGCTCACCTCCCGATCTACTGAGCCGACCTGTGACAGTCTCATTGTCACAGGTCGGCTAGAACTATGAGGTGAGTGAAAAGCACTCGCCTCATTCGGTAGTTCTCCTTTAAGTGAAAGCTAATACTTTTTAAATGGACAAAGACCTGTGTGCGGATCTATAACATTTTTACATGTTGGAAGGTACTCTGAGTTGCCCAAGCATATTCCTATTGCCCATCTCTATGATGGCTTGCCTCAATAGCTGGAATGTGCAAGAGACAGAAGAGGGTGAGTATGTGTCGGCCAGATCAGGAAATGCCAGAGCTTGGCCTGACAGAAAGGCTGGCCAGTCAAAAAAAGCAAGGTATTAAAGGCTGCTTCAGGTATATTTTTGTATATTTAGTTTTTTTGGACATCCTATTCTCTTAAAGTCTTAATGAACAGTGGTGATGCTAAGTAGAAACTAAGGGCTTAATGGAGCTAATGATTGTCTAGACAATTTGAATGAATGTGCCCCACAATGGAAAAAGGTTGTATTACAATATTTTGACCACTGGTAAGACATGTACAAATATTTGTTATTTTTTCATATAGACAAAGCATCAAGCATCAAACATTAGTAGAAAGTCAAATAAGGCATCATGACATTGTGAGCAGCTTGTGTGATGACATTCTGCTATCCTTCCAGTCATGCTTGCAAATAGCAGAGCATATGAAGGTCACTGGGATACAGGTAATACAACACTAAATTGTTTACAAATGTTTCACAGATCTCTTTAAGATGGAGCTGTGGTGTGTGACATTTCAATTCTTTTGTTTCATTTCTTTTTTTTTTTGTTCATAAAAAATTATATAGCACTTTAAACGTTAGCAAAATTACATAGAATGTACCTTCATCCTAGAGTCAGTGGCTGTGGAGCCCAAGTCCACATGTGTAACTGTCTCTGAACCTAATCTTGATTTCATGATAAATTAGACAAATTGCACAATAAAATTAGTGTGTTTGTATTTTTTTAAAGTAAAATTTTTTTGTTTTAAAACTATCACTGTTTAAATTACGGGAAGGCTGCTTTTAAAATACAGATAGAGGAGATATTGCCAAATGAATAGGTCACTGAGAACTGATCTGAATGCAAGTGTGATAGATGACCTGATTGAAGTGTGTGATGGTGCAGAGGATTATGCGCAGAATTATATTTGAGGGCAAATTCTAATTATTTATTGTACTATGTTACTGGCCCCCTAATATTAATCGGGCAGTAGAGACCGAGCTTCTTACACAAATTGAAAAGACTAGAGTGAATTAAACAGATGTATTATTGTAGAACTTACCTACCCTGAATTTAATGGCACAGCCTGGTAGGTACCTCAAATTGCCAATTTTACAATCGAGGGGTCTATTGCACAAATCCAAAACCTCTTGTGCAAGGAGCCAACCCACAATCTATTTTAGGGAAGATCCTCAATCATCGGGATAAAGTAGCCATACATTTGGCAGCACAACAAACCGTTAATCTTTACTTCCACAGCACACCAACAGCTATATACCTAGACTTTTCCATGTAAGTGCAGACGCAGAGCAGAGGGCCTTCTTCACAGCCATATAGAAAAATCTACTAGACAAAGCGTTAGCATATTTTCATGTTTTGTCCTGCTGAACTTTGCATTGTCAGTGACTGTGAATCCATTCTCTTCACCACACTGCCTGAAGTCTCTGACTGGCTGCAGGCCCACTATTTGCTCTTGACTTGCAGATTGCCACAGTGTAACAGGTGATAAGTGTATGTCTTTTCACTTTTGTATCCAGAGGTGTGGAAATTAAAAAAAAAAAAAAAAAAAAACTACTTGTCCAAGGACTATAGTGGTGGCCCAATCTACTTGTTCCTCATGGCAATCTACTTGTCCCTCATGATAATCTACTTGTAATACAAAAAGTAATTTTAACCAAAATTGTGTTTAACCGTACTAAGAAGTGCTTCTCATTGGTCAGCACGGTCAGGTGAGACTTGGGTGGTTTTTAACAAAAATGCAGTAATTGAAGTACTGCTTAGTTGTCATGAAGACAGGATCAGGATAACTGTGTTGGAGCCAGCATTAAAAAAAACCCCAAAACAATCAGCATCTAAATATGTATCGTTGCACGCTTAATTTAAGGTGTCAGGAAGTTGACCTCTCGATCGCTGTGACTTTTTTCCCTTATTTTATGTCGGGGCACTGCAATTCCATGTTATATATCAGATTGTAGTCTAGTGGATAGTTTATGGATAAGATTTATTTATGTTGTCTGAAAGACCTCCCTGAAATGTAAGATTGTCACTTATCCTTGCTCATTTCTCTATATGTTTCTTGAGGTATTCCATATGGGATAGGAAAAAAATAGTTTGTGCAGAACCAAATGTGTCTCTGTCATTAAGTCTGTTAAACAAAATCACTTGTTTTGCTCAGGAAAACACTGACCAAAGATTATTCCAGAAGAACTTAAAGCTCTGTCGTTTTTTTGTCAATTCTCTACTGCACTACACCAAAGTGAGTATGCACTCATTTACAGATTAGTGATCTCATTCATCTTTAGTTATGCCTATTTTATTATTAGTTTCATCTGCAGCTGTTGTAAATGTTAAAAATCCACAGTCCTTTTAAAATGTTGCAGACATTTTAATATTTATTCATGTTATAATTTGTTTGCTATAATCTTGGACCTATTCTGTTTCTCTCATATTTCGGTGTCAGACAAATTTACTACTTGTACAGTGTAGATATCTGTCATGTAGTATTTGTTTTTGCAGAAAGAATTCATGTTCATGCTTCTGATGGCAGTCCTGGGCTTTTTTTGCAGTATGGATCTTGAGAACCATAATAAAACTTGCTGTTTGACATTGTTCACTGGTAATTCTTGTGATTCCATTATCTGCATACACAGACTGTTAAATTGGACCACCTCCTCTCAGCTTGGTAATAGCAGAGGAAGTTTTAACGCAGCTTATCCCTCAAATAAAAGTATGTTTGAGTTAGCAGAAAATATGAATTTGTTCAAACAAATTTCAGTGAAATGTCAGCCAAACGGTCTCTTGTAGGATATAGTGGGAAAAGGGGCTCAGTCAAGTTTTCATTGCTGCCAGGGTGTCTTAGTGCTTCCTCATTTCTCAGAGCAGGCATTCCCAGTGTTTAGGTTTATGTCCATCGCTAACTCACTGTAGAGACCTGCTGTTTTGGTGAGAGAAAATTGAGTAGCAAAGAGTTTCTGAATTCAGTCTGGCTGGAAAAATGTGTTGTGAACAGAAAGAGAATAGTATGTCCTATAGAATTATTTCCATAGCTGTGCATTAGCTTCTACTGGAGTGCTGCTTTCGGTGTCCATTAGTATTGTATGCTGTCTTGGTTCATTGTGTTATATTATTTATATGGTATTCACTATACTGGTCGCACTGTTTGTCAACAAAGCTGTAAATCATTTTGGCTTTTTATTCATTACCATAATAAAAAAAAAAATGTAACAATATTTTTCCAAACCCTGTTCTGTCTTAGACAATCGTTGAATGTCACTGGATTTGGCTCAGTTTAAATGTATTTGTGATATGGTTTTTGGTTATTGATGTGCGTGAAATATTGAAGTAAAACATTACTAGGACAAGCCTGTTAATTGAGGTCCGTGCCTTGTATTGAATTCAATTTATTTTGGATAATGATCTTTTAATCCCTTCATGACCAGTGACATACAGTGTACATCTTTGGCATCGGGCCCGTTTAAAGAGACTTCCAGCGGCTTTTGCTGCCGGGACTCTGTTTACACATGTAAAGCTGACTGTCAGCTTTACAGTAAGACCAGCTGCCGCCAGATCGCTTCTACGGGTCGCTAAACGCCCTCCGACACCCTCGCCATGTTTCCCGGGCTCCGCTGCCTCTCCCACTGGCCCGGGATTGGCTTCTCTGGTGTTGGGGGGAAGCTCGGGAGGAGATCGGTGAACATCTGTTCACTGAGATCCTCCCCGTACTATGGGACCGGGAGCGATGCAGAGTACATCACTTCCGGTCCCATAGCTGTCATTACTCGGCTCCTGAAGCCCAGCAATAAGCTATTGAAGTGAGATCTGCACTTTAATAGCTTATTTAGAGTGTAAAGGTGACACCAGGGGTCTTTTGGACCCCCAGTATCACCTTACAGAGTACCTGTCACCACCAATATGCTATCACATGGGTGGCCTGTAAACCCCCCTATGTGATGGCAATTAAAGTTAAAAAAACAGTTTTTAAAATTAATATTAACCACTTGAAGTCCGCGGTGTTTACACCCCCTTCCCATCCAGGCCATTTTTCAGTATTCAGCGCTGCAGTACTGTGATTGACATTTATTCCGTCATGCAACGCTGTACTAGAATTAATTTTATACCATTTTTTTTAGGCACAGACAGAGCTCTCTTTTGGTGGTATTTAATCACCACTATGGGTTTTATTGTTTACTATATTAAGGAAAAATTACAGAAAAAAAAAACTGTTTCCCCTATATTAAATTATAAAACATTTATTATTACCCAATTTGTTGGTAAAATATAAGAGACCGGGTCGCGTCGGGTAAAAAGACACCAAACATGTCAAGTCTTAAAATTGCGCGCACGTGTGAAACCTCAAACTACAATACCCAAAATTGGCCATAGGCAACAGTTTAAAAGCTTTTACCACTCATCAGTTTAATGTTATCAGTGATTGATGGCCCTAAAATGATTGCTCTAACTCCGACGTTTGCAGCGATATGTAACGTGAAGCGCAATTGTCGTTTTTGTGCTCTGACGCATATTTACATTTATATGTGCGTAAACGTGGGGGACTTAAACATATTTTTTTTTTGTGATTTATTTTATTTTAACTTTTTTATTTATTTATACTTATTGTTATTGCTATTACATAAGGGGATAACAATCCCCCTATATAATAGCAAAGGCACACTGACAGGTCCTCTTTATGGAGACATTAGGGGTCTCTAGGATCCCTAATGTCACCTGGGGACCCCAAAAGAAGCTGATGAAGCAGAGATTATAACACGTAAACAAGAAATGCGAACAAAAAAGGCCTGGGTCATGAAGGGGTTGATTGTAGTGCTGTATTTAAACTAGTTATAAGTTATGGTGTTTGTGTTTATAAAATACTTTTATAAACAGATACTTAGGTGCACATTGCTTGGGAAGTATAATTTTCATTACTGTTCTTTTTACATTTTGATAAACACTGATGTTTTGAATGAATAAATTGTGATTTTGTTTCAGGAATTCATGCCTTTTTTGTCTGAATCTTGTCTTCATCTGCATCATTTATATCTTCAACTATATAGGTAAGAATCTTTCCATATCTATAGGACACAAGTAAATACTTAGGGATCTGTTCACACAGGGCGATTCTACATTCCTGCCGCAAGAACCTACGGATTCCTGCGGCAGTCTGCATGTAAATGTGCATGGTACGATTACATGTGGTTTGGGATAGATTGTCATTTGATGCAGGATAGATGCGTGTCTTCCCTCATTGTGTTTCCTTGATTGCCCCAGAAATATTTTTAATGGCCATGCTTTGGCCCAAGGAATATTTTTAAGGGGGAATTTTGTGTTCATCTGCATATCTTGTATATATCTTCAAATATATAAGTAAGAATCTATACGACTCAAATACTTCAGGCTTTCTTCACAGTGGGTGATATGGCATTCCTGCTGCAAGAACTTATGGATTCCTGCAGCAGTCCGCATGTAATCGTAAATGGTATGATTACATGAGGTTCGGGATAGATGATTGTCGCTAGATGCAGGATAGATGCATCCAGCAACAGTTATCTATTACAAATCGCATGTAATCGTACCATTTACAATTACATGTGAACTGCTTATATAAATAAATTCATAGCTGTTCGTCCAGTGAAACTGCATGTAAATCATTCTGTGTGAGTAAACCAGCTGTTTTGAGAATGGTGCAAAGTAAAATGTTTTTAGGCTATTTTCTCTTTTTGACAAATGTTCTTCAAATATTTTAGGCAGTAGTAACAATAGATTCATACATAAAGAACACAGTGAATTGGAAAAATACTGCATTATGACCACTGGAGCTAAGGATCATTTGAAATAAATACATCTTAGTAACAAGAGATACAATTAGAGGTGTACTGAAATGAAATTTTAGAACTACAAATAAAAAAATGTCACAAGGAAACCAAACATCTTTTTTTCTAAATTCTAATTTTTTTTATATTTTATTTTAAATAGATATTTTTAACTTTACTGTCAGGGGGCTCTGGGAAATATCAGGGGTCTAAAAAGACCCCTGATATTTCCCTTTTGAAATAGAAAGAGATTGAGGACTGTGTCCATTCAATCTCTTGTTCTGCAGCCATTGTTATGAATTAACCGAAATCCTCTATAGGAGTTCCCGTTCATTCATAACTTATGGAGATAGTATGTTTACATATCCACCGTTATGAATGAACAGGAAGTGATGTAGAGCACTTCCTGTTCATTCATAATTGGAGATACAGTAAACCATACTTTTTTTTTTTCGTTGGACACTTCACAATATTGAACATTTTTCTTTTGATTTAGATTTTCATTTTTTTGGGCTTCTTGTTTTGAAGATCTGAGAGCTTTAAGAAATTTAAAAACTTTAAGTGCATTTCCAAAAAAAATTGTTATAAGTTCTAATAATTTTCGAAAGAAAGCAACACAGACTGGTTTATAATGTGATAATTTTATTTTTCACATATATGACACATGGTTTTTGAAGATTTTTGATTTATTTAATAAGGTGTATTTATGACACGCTTTTTATGACACCTGTTGACACAGTTTGTAACACATTATAACTTTTTACACAAATATTTATTATATATACACTTTTTCATGATTGCTTGACACGGAGGTGATATCACTCTGATCCTTACCGTTCTTGAATTTCCTGAAGGGCATTTAGCGCTGTACACTTCGTTACATCAGTAAACCATACTATGTCTTCAATTATTTACTAGCAGACAGCTGACGCCTCCCTCGCACTGCCACCTCAGCCTCCTTTGATAGCTGTCTCCGCTCCCCATACCACTCTCCATCCTGATCTGTCACGACAGGGGCTGAGCAGGCCGGTGAGGCAAGGGAGCTCAGCCTCCTATGACATCGCAACTTACAGCGCTCTCCTCCCTGCCCTGTTCGTCTGCCTGAATATTTCTCTCCTCCTGGCTGGATGCTGCGCTGTGTCATAGGGGACATAGAGCAGCGCCCAGAGGGGAGGAAAGAAGCTAGGAATGCACCACAATTGTGCTTTTGGCATTTTGCCCAAAGTGCCATTTTTGGCCAACATGTTTCAGCGGCTGAAATTTCAGTTCACATGCTGCTGGCTGCCACTGACCCCTCCATTACTACAGGACACAGTAATGATGTAGTGGTCAACAGAAGAAACCACTGAGTGCGCACCGGGTTACACGGGAGATTGAAACTCCTGAAACTGTCTTTTTCTGAAAAGGCTATACCTTAGAATAGTATTCTGGAGCACAGGCAGCAGGAGAGGCAAATATTTACTACCTTCTGTACAGCTACATATTTTATGAAGAGGAACTTTAGAAAAAAATGTAAATGTGTGAACAGGAAGGCGGTTTATTGCAGAAGAGACATACTATGTATCTTCAGCATTAAAGGACTCTTACCTGCCTTTTCGCACATATTTGGACAATGTCCATTATGCTACACACATGTAGCTTCATGTACACTTTTTGCATATGCCACGATGGATGAGCGGCTACATCATCCAGTCTTGGCCAGACAAGATGGCCAAAGATCCCGAACTCGGAAGAAACTGATCAAAGATGACTGCGCCAGTGAGGGAGCTCGCAAATGTCACATCATTGGATGTGTGGTGAGTGTTCGATCGAATGGACCCTGTTTGCCATTCTTTACTACAGAATCTGCTTTTAATCAGCACTGAGATGAGAGAATTGCTGCCCCTTGCACATGGATAATTACAAACTATGTACAGAAACACAATCTTTAATATATTAACACTTGTGTATATTAAGCTAGTCTCTTTATTTACCCATTTTTGGCACATTAAGTAAAAAATGATCATCTTTAATTTTGTATTGATTTTATTTTTGTTTCATAGCCTGTTTCCACCAAGTCTATATGCTGTGCCTATTTCCGATGTTCATCAGGAAGAGATAGCCAATGTGTTTCTTGTGGCTCTTGATCTTCTCATAGGCCAGCTTTTACCCTTCAGGCCTTTTGTGGACGTGATACTATCTGAATCCCAAGGTATAAATGTTTGTTTTATTAACTGTAATACTAACAATGATCTAGAACTACTTCTGGTTAACTTTACTTTGTGGGAGTTGAAGTTGTGAACAGTTTTACTGAACATTATTCCAACTCTCTATTCAGAGCTTCCACGAGAACAACAGTTCCCCAAGTGTCTGCTTTTAATAAACATTGTGGATAAACTTCCAACCCTACCGGAAGATGTGCAGATTTTGTGGTGCTCAGGCAGCAAGCCTCCAGAGAAAAAACAAAGGTAAAACTTCAAATAATACAATAATGTAAATAAGGGTTTTTAATGCCAGGATACCCATTAAACTGGCTGTCCAGGAAATAAGAGACAAATAATTGCTGGTTTTTTTTTCTATTTGTTAATTAAAACGTACCCAACACCATACATTTCTAAATGAGTTATTTATTTTGGTAAAATCTAAGCAGTTTTTGAATATAAGTACCAAGTTTTATAAATTCCTGTACTCATTTACCTTTCCACATAGGGAATAAGCACAAAGAGGGGCGCCTTTCCTGGTGCAGATCACTTTTATTTCAATAAACATAAATAGAAAACCGAATCATACTCACAAACATGAGTGTCACAAAGTCATGAGGTGAGGACTGACAAGCAGTGAGATGTCCACTAGGTGATACCAGTGTAGTGGTGACGTTAACGCCACTACACTGGTTCGGCCACATCAGTGTAGTGGTGACGTTAACGCCACTATCAGACGTTAACATGTTCTGATGAAGGGGGCGTGCCCTGGAAACGCGTTAACGTCACCACTACACTGGTATCACCTAGTGGACATCTCACTGCTTGTCAGTCCTCACCTCATGACTTTGTGACACTCATGTTTGTGAGTATGATTCGGTTTTCTATTTATGTTTATTGAAATAAAAGTGATCTGCACCAGGAAAGGCGCCCCTCTTTGTGCTTCTTCCCTAGATTTCCAGCTTTCCTGGCTTCTTTGGGGCAGCATCCTGCAGCATGCCTAAAAGCAAGTCCTACTAAGAACTGACAGTCCGTGGCGCTTCACTGTTTTTACTTTGTTACTGGTACCTTTCCACATAGTACCCATCGGTTCACATTTGTGTCATCTTTTTACCGAGGCCTTAAATCCAGTTTGGAAACATTCTATAAAGCAGTCTTTGCTCCACTGCTTCAGAGCAGTTTTAGCTTTCTGCGGGTCCTTAAATCTTGTGCCATGATGTAATCTCAAACAGGTAGAAGTTAAATCTGGGCTGTAGTGTGGATGAGGGACCACTGGCCAGCTCAAGTATGACATGAATGCCTTTTTGTGGTCTTTTCTTCCTGATGGCTTCTTTAGGCTTTCAAACTGTACCAATGTATGGTTGACTGTTGCACCTTTATCCAAAAAGCCAAGGGAATGATGCTTGGGTCATCCCAGAACACGGCCGTCAGGATCTGCCAGATTTGAATTTGGATGGTGCCATTCAATGCCTTGTCAAAATTTTCAGTTTTTCCCCTTTTATAAAAGTCTTTACTCAAGATCTAACATTGTCCACATCAATTACTGCATCACCATACACAATCTTCAGGTGTATGTGGATTGCAACAGCTGAACAACCCTCTTTCATCAGAAACTCAATTACTGCTCTGTTTCACCCTCTCATTCATGATTCACTTGGTACAATTTAAAAAAACAGAAGCATACAATGAATGAACGTGATGGACCATATGTGAGACAGGCATTTTATAATTTCATATGAACAGCATGTATGAAACCACAGTCATAACCTTTTGATTCCCCCTTGTATTTTCATACATACCTGATAATGTTTGTCTTACCAATGAAACAATCTCTTATTAATGAAAACTTCAATGGGTTTTGTTTTTTATAAGTTTATAAACTGATGTTTTATATTATTGCAGTACTTTTTAATTTGTATAACATCTTTATTCAACAAATACCTTGAATGCACAGGATGGTGGACCTTCTGTTAAGAAAGCTCCTTTCTGCTTGCTTGCATGTAAGCAACCTACTGTAAACGTACGAGCCAGATTGGGAGGGAGGACATGTATGCCTCTTATGTGATTCACTCTGCAGTCTGTGTAATCTGTTCTCCCAGCTATCTAGGCCCATTTTAACAGCACAGCTATACAGAACATTTTTGATCTGTAGCTTGAAGTGCACCACCAGCTGGTTACACATTGTAAAAATGAAATACTAATTTACAGTTTTTCATATTTATATAATAACATTGAAATAAAGCAGTTTTTGGAACTAATTCAACATAACATAATGGAGAAAAATGTTAAAACAAACACTATACATTTTTCTTTCAAGTGCTTTTGTCTCTAGGAGGCCCATTTATGCTGAAGAGCAGATACCAATTTCTGCTCTAGTGTGCTGACTCGACACTACACCTACATTTTATGACTCTGTATGATTCTACTGTACATAAAGTACAGACTGCGGTGTGAAGCCTGCAGTGTCCTATGGAGTGTTCTCTGCGTAATGCTACAGAGAATACTGCTGTTATTAAAGAGGATGGTCACAGGACTTTGACAGATCATGTGACTGGACACTCATCCTCCTGGCACTTTTTTTCTTCCCTCCATGGCTGGCTGTTTACAATTCTGACAGTTTCCCCACTCGTGTGCACGCTGGGCGCCACACACAAGTAGGGGCGGGGAAGGACATTTTAAGACGCCCACCCTCTCCAATAAGCCTCCTGTCTGGCTGTTTAGGAACGACCAATGGACTGGTGGTGGTTAAAGCAGAATCTCCATGATTTAGGAAAGATCAGGTGTAGGAATATCAAAGATTTATTTTCAGATTAATATACACATTGTAGGAGAATTCAAAGGGATTTGTTTTTGTGTTAATGCATCATTTACTCATTTCTTTGTTTAGGATAACTCCTGTTGTTTTTTTTCTGCTTTTCTTCTTCTCTTTGTCTGACTTGCTATACTAATTTATACTAATACCTAATATTAGAATCATAACCAAGAGTTCATACAATTGTATTTGTTTTTCTTTCTTTAGGATGTCTATCTTTAAAGCTGTGTTCCAGAGCTTTGTTGTATGTTCCCCAGAAATCTCCTTTCCGGTTACCATGAAGGACACTTTTGCTAAAGGGCAAACTACAGTACACGTCTCATTTTATCAATATACCTGCATTCATCTTTGTGCATACATTGTGTTACTACCCCCAATGTGCTTTTCTGAGTTGGTGAGTCCAATCTTCATGTACTATGCAGAACCTGAATAAATTACACCCAGTAATATTTAGAGCAACAATTTGCTTTATTATTTGTGTTTTAGGAGTGTTCTCTGTTGAATGCTGTTATCAGTTACAGAATGATGGAGTCTTTTCTGGCTATAGATGTATGGTGTTTCTTAGCTCGGTAAGATTTTGTTTACAATGTCAAACACTGATCACAACATATACATGCCAAGTATGTGCAGTAAAAGTAATTTTTTTTTTTTTCAATATATTCAGGTACGGAACCACAGAGCTGTGTGCTCACCATGTTACAGTGATAGCTAGTTTGGTAAGTGCCTGGCATTGCTCTGCTGAGTGCAAAGGAAGGTCCTGTATAAGTCATGGGTATGCTAGCATGGAAAGGGCCACTGAAAATATTTACGATGGTTAGGATTTGCTGTTCTAATGGGTTTTATTATGCCTTGTGCCCTGCCTCTGTGGACAGGATGAAATATTTTAAGGAATTCCTATACTCAGACTTAATTTAAAATAATGTTAATGGTTTTGTTGGAAATAATATGTCGTAATGAGAGGGCTGGAATAGAAAATAGAACTCTGGGGTAATTGTGCAAGGTAATTTTAAACATGTTCTACAGTAGCATGAAACAAGGTGGATCTGTTCTTTGAAGAGGTCCAACCATCTAGTAATTGAGACTGCTTTTTTACATTTCTTTTTGTTTTGTGTCTGGTTTGTTGAATGTGTAACCAGCAGAGTGAACTTAGTTCACACTATACCCAGCACAGTAAAAATAGCCCACGGCAGCACATATCACATCCCGAACAGTCAAAACAGCATATACAGTCATGGCCAAAAGAATTACACAAATATTAATTTTCACATTCTGCTGCGTCAGTGTTATAAGATCTTCTTGTCAGATGTTACTCTAGTATACTAAAGTATAATTACAAGCATTTCATTAGTGCCAAAGGCTTTTATTGACAATTACATTTTAAGTTTAAGTTAGAGTCAATATTTGCAGTGTTGACCCTTCTTATTCAAGACTTCTGCAATTTGCCCTGGCATGGTGTCAGTCAACTTCTGGGCCACATCCTGAATGATGGCAGCCCATTCTTGCATAATCAATGCTTGGAGTTTTTCAGAATTTGTGGGGGGTTTTTTTGTTCACCCGCCTCTTCAGAATTGACCAAGTTCTCAATGGGTTTAAGGTCTGGGGAGTTTCCTGGCCATGGACCCAACATTTGAATGTTTTGTTCCCCAAGCCACTTAGTTATTACTTTTTCCTTATGGCGAGGTACTCCATCATGCTGGAAAAGGCCTTGTTCATCACCAAACTGTTCTTGAATGGTTGTGAGAAGTTGCTCTTGGAGGATGTTTTTGTACCATTCTTTATTCATGGCTGTGTTGTTAGGCAAAATTGTGAGTGATAATCACCTCAGCGGATTCTTTTAGCAACTAATATAGAGAATCCCCCCCTGGATGAACTAGTAGCAATCTTTACTTATCGTTTTGATTGCTTGGATTGCCCTGTTAAATTCAGCTTAAAATCCCATCCAAGGATTTATGGTTCTTTTACTGAAGTAAAAGAGAGTCATTGTGACATGCAAGTCTTATACTATCTTTTATTTATATCCCCATCTGTACAATTGATTGTGCTTTTTAGATGTTTGAATAAGATAACTTTGACATAGTGTTACCCAGGTGAAATGGATATGTAAATATATTTCAATGACTACAATAATATTCACAAACACAAGATCTGAGGATTCTTAGACAAAATAAGTATTTCAATCAGCAATATACATTTATTGGTAGGGTTACATATTTACAAATAACACACAAAACATTATTTACAAGACAATGTACAGTACAAGTGTGGTGGAGTTTTACCTCTCAGCTTCTAGCCTGTTCATACTGCATGTCTTTGTGCCCCAGGTAAAAAGAGAGCACGTGGCTGGCTAACAATCCCTTATATACCCTCCTTTCTGTACAGTGGCTACCAAATGTACATTGGGCGTAACCTGATTGGAGGATTTAAATAAGGTTGCTGTTTACCCCCCCATGTGAGATGTGATAAGCAAACAAAACAATAGCTAGGACTTTAAAGAAGACCGATTCACAGTAACACAATTGAGGAACTGAGAGTCACATAACATACAGATAGATGTAGTCAAATATATATAAATATATATTATATTATCTAATGAATATATTACACAAGAAAAACTTTATATGACAACAATGGTAATGTAGTAATTGCTGTTATTAATCAAGATGTGTTTTGTGAATTTGAGAGCTATAAGAAGAGTTCTCTTATCAACTAGCAGCTCCTCAGGGTTGAGCTATGCTCCTGTGTGTGCTGAAGTATATAGCTTTTTCTTTTTTAATTGGACCTCTTTCATTTTACGGCAGTGTAGATATATTTCTGTATATCATTTATTTCTTTGATCTGAAATTGTCTGCTGTGATGCTTACTGTACTTTTTAATTCATAGGTAAAATCATGTCCTGGCAAAACATCACAGCTTTCACAATTAATTGTCCTTCTAAGACGTTTACTCTTCTTACTGGATACCAATCACCAGGTATAAAATTCTATTTTGTTTTTTTCATTGACCCCATTTTTTATAGTAATGTTCTATTTTAATTGGTGTGTACATGTTTGCAATTTAAATTGATAAAAAACATATGCTAAAGGATGCTAAAGAAACCCGTGTGGAATAGGGCAGTGTCACCCTGTCACATGGCCTTCCAGTGGAAACTACAGGTGGCCATTTGAACTCGCATTATGCAGGCATGGTCCACTGTTGTCACTGAGGAAATCCATCTTGAGAAATGCAATGTAGTAACCTCTGGAGTGGGAAAAACAAGTATTTTGTCTAAAAAAGAATGGCATTTGGTTATAATATATAGTTTTGAGCAAACTAAATGTCCTTCAGTTACATTTGTCATTAAAGTTTACATCTACCTTAAACCATGTCCTGTGGAGTTGAGATTTAGGACCATGCAGTTGGAGCTGTCTAGAACTGAACGCTGCTATGTGAACTGTAGCTAAAAAAACCATTGGAATACATTAGACGCAGTTTTGTTCCAGTCTGTAATTGCTCTGCCCTGCACCTGCTCCGCGCTTGGTGTGAACAAGGCCTTAACGCTTAAGTTCACTTTTTTAAAATGTACTATGCAATAAAGTACACCCAGTATTTAAAAAAAACACATTACTCATTGTAAACATTGAGCTTACTTTAAATGATAATCCTGTAGGCTAAACGTTGCTTCCCCCACGCCTTGCTGGAAAGCTTCCATTCAGTGTTATCCACCACATCCTGTGCAGAATTTAGGATGTGAGATCAGTTTGGCACACCTTTTCCCCCAGCATCTATCAAATGATCGCTCTCCCTGTCTCAAAACTATGCATGTGCTATGTGCTTTACCTCCCTGTGTCACAGCAGCTACTGTGGAAATTTGTTCAAATGAAATCTGCATGTGCAATTAGGCTGTCATTGGAGAGTAGCACCATGGTGCGTTGCATAATACATGTGCTGCAACATGCTTCATTGTGCAGCATTTGACAAGCAATTTGAATGACCTCCGCACAAAAAGAAATGCCCTCGCTCTATTTTTGTCACTGTGTCACACATCACAAGCACGTTCTGTAGACTCCTTGCATGTGTTTTATTGCACAGGACTGCAGTTCAATGGAATGTATGGATGGTACCCCTTAATGAAAATTCTACTGAGGCATCCAGGAGATGTTTTCAATCCGTTATATTTTTGCGAGATGCAAAAATATTTGGCTATTTGCCAGTATGATGGTTGCCTAGAGTTGATTGAATAATTGCACCTGCCATGTAAAGTGTTTGTTCACATGAAGATTTAACATGAGTTTTGATGTCTGTGACGTTTTAAAAAAAATTACTGGTAACATGTTTGTGGAAGTGATGTAAAATTTGAAGCATATATAGTCTTTTTTTTGGGGGGGGGGCTTTATACTAAGATGTGGACATGCCAAAAAGCCTTTAACCAAATACTTTGGGCATGTGTAGTACATACTGCCCCTCTTTTCTTCACCTCCGTTTCCTAGTCACATAATCCCTTGCTGTCATTTTGAGTGATGCTTTCTGTCACAGGAGCAGATCTTGCTGCTCCTGTGTAAATTAAGTCTGCAGTGTCCTTGAGGCTTTGTTCACACCAAGTGCGTTCCAAGAGCAGAGCAGTTACAGACCGGAGCAAACTGAGTCCAATTATTCCAATGGTATTTTTAGCTCCAGTTCACATCGCAGCGTTCCGTTCCAGAGCAGGTCAAAAAACTGCAGCAGGCTCTATTTTGCCTGCTCTGGAACGCATGCAAACGCACTGAAAGCCCATTTTAAACTAAAAAAAAATAAAATAATAAAAAAAATATATATATATATATGTGTGTATTTATTTTTTTAAACAAAAACGGCCCGGAACGCATCAAAAACGCGGCAAAAATGTGGCACAACCCACTGCGTGTGCAGAAACTCATGCAGATCTGCTCTGCATTTGGTGTGAACAAGGCCTAAGCGTTATAATTATTACTACTACTAGTGTAACTAAAATTAACCCTTAATAACCCTTTGTTAACCCTAAGTAGCCTGATTAGCACCTTCCTCCACTTCTCCTCTTTTACTTAAATTTTTGTATTTTTACTATTTAAAATGTATTTGAAACTTTTTTTTCCCATTCAGTTTGTTTTGCAACACATTAAAAAATGCATTTTTTTCTTATTTTGCTACAACATTTGTCTATAGATTGCATAGAAAATAAAATATTTTTTGAAAGGAAAGAAATTATGTATGCATTACATTTTTATCTTAAGTAATGACAAAGTTATTGCCAAATCAATAGGCCTGTGTCATTTCTTTTTAGGCATCTCTGATCAAAATGCTTCCTCCAGAGCAAGATGAAAATGTATCTTTCTGGCAACACATTTCACTTTCATCTCTGCCAAGTGCTTTGGGTTCTCAGGTGAAGAAACGACTTTTCAAAATGGCATTCTTGCAATGCAAAAAATGGCTTGATAGCATGGAGACACTAAGAGAGCTGCAAGAACTGGTAATTGCCTTTTTTCATTTTGTTAAAATTTGTTTTTAAATCACACCAGGGAAACCGATGTTTTCTAGAATGCAGAAACTGTTTATGACCCACATTTACCCCACTCTTCAGTTCTGTGAGTAGCTCTGCTCATTTAAAGTGAAGCTTGGATGTTCTCGGTGTGTAACATGTACATCATTGTAGATATCTGTTTTGGCCTTTTACACTATGACTTCCCTCTCCCTTTTTGGTCGAAACATTTTAAGCTGTAGTGTTACAAAGAACTTTGTATTGATCAATTTTACTGTATTTTTGCAAATCAATGTCTATAAATGATAGCCCTATCAGCTAACAAGTGTAAGCATCTTGTGGAACTGTAGGACTCGCAGGGTTATTCACAAAAGGGTGAAGAGTTTGGAGAAGGCAGGAGAAGTGAACATTCTAGGACAACATACTGTAGCTGAACTGGAAAGTGAGCTGTATTGGAGAATTTTTACAAATCAGCTTTCCCTGACTGCTCCATGTCGGCATACGAGTGGGTACAGGCTCCGCCCCCCCCATCTGATAGGACTAATAGCTCATAAATTTGAGCCTCCCCCCAGCCAATGTGTTCCTTCTTTTTCCTCCTATTGGAGTCTGATAGGATGGGGGCGGTCGCTTACCTGGCTGAGGTAAATCCTTGGCTATCCACCCCTTCTCTGGATCCTGGGTGTTGTCCTCTCTCCATGTCCGCTGGTGGATCTGTAGAGGAGCCTCTCTACTGGTCTCTGAGGCTGTGTTAGACCGGTAAAGCCGGTTCACGTATCAAGGGGGAGGCAGGAGATGTCCGGTATGGTGGCTTGCGGCTGGCTATGGCGGCGCCTGTGTTCAGTGTACACACCTGCGCAGCCCACGCCCCCTCCCACCTCTGAATGCAGGTGTGTTTTCGTTGGTAGATCTCAATGAGCTCGTCATTTGAAAAGTAGATCTCCAGATGAAAAATAGTGGGCGCCCCTGTCCTAGATTGTTCCCTTCTCCTGCCTTCTCCAAACTCTTCACCCTTTTGTGAATAACCCTGCAAGTCTTTGCAGCAGATTTCTGTCAGTGTTTTTCCAGTTGTGTTTATTGTATATTGCCCCCAGGCAGTGTTAGCTCTCTAAAACCAGTGTTTCTTGGCCGGGATCCAAATTGGGTTGGAGATGTGTTAGGCATGGGCCACTTAACTTTGTGCCTAAGTGAGAAACTAGGGGAACATTGGCAAGTGATTTGACGCAGACTATGACTGACAGAACAGACACTTATAGGGAGCTAGTGTTTTGTGTGAGGTGGGGGCAAAGACATTTAAGTAGGGTACTCGTGCAGTGAATTTCAGCCGATTCAGCTGGAATTCGCTGCGTTGGTGACTCTATTCCACCTGCAGATGTCGATCCTTGGATCGACTTCTGCCGAAAGAACATGTTAGAAAGTCGAGTGGAGTTTGCAGCCAATCAGCTGCACGTTCTGTTTGGGTGTTCTTACAGCGCTGTCAGAAGAGGATTCCTCCATCCACGCTCATCAGTTGATGGAGGAATCTGTTCTACAGTATTATTTTTGTTCTGCTCCCTGGTTGAATGGAAAAAAAAGAGACACGTGTATACCCGACATTGAGCATGACGGATTGTAAGATGAGACACGGCATTAAATGTCTATTGGTGAAAATAAATTACAAAGAAGGTGGTTTTTTTTCCCTTGGCTTTACAGAAATGCAGAAGGGCACCTGCAATGTTTTCTAACATATTTGCTGCCAGAAGCACCCACAACATTGGTAAAGTCAACCTTAGAGTCCTGCACCACCTTGGAAGTCCAGGGAGAACTGGCAGTGGACAAAATGGGGGTAGGAGCCTATAAGGCCCCAAAAGTGTAGTGGTCGGGTCAGAGGGGGTAACTCATTGCGGCGCGGTCCTCATGGGTTCAAAGGAGGTACAGGATCATGTCCGCATGTCAAACTAGTGGATGGTTGGGGAAGGCAAGGAACAATCTCACCCCTTTCAGGTTTCCGCTGCTTCCATCGCTTCGTCGGCTGGGCGGGCGGGGGTCTCGCGGGAAGTAGATCGACGGTTCCGCCTGAGTCTACGAGGCTTTGGTGCTGTGGCCTGGTCCTCCGGGAAGAGGTCCCGCCAGTCCGGGAGTTGTATAGCAGGAATTCCGAGGAACTCACAGACCGCAGGTACGTCAGCCCCGGAACGGACCAGGAACGTGGAGCTGCCTTTTCGGACATGCAGCCGAATGGGGTATCCCCAGCGGTAGATAGCTCCCGCTCCTCCAGGAGTGGGCGCAGGAGGGCCCGGCGGCGGAGGGTGTTGCGGGAGATGTCCGGGAGGATCTGGAGGGGCGCCCCATCGAACTCCACAGGGCGTTTCAGCCAGGCCTGGCGCAAGACGCCTTCCTTCACGGTGTATCGATGGAGACGACAGAGGACATCTCTTGGACGGGAAAGATCTTTTGATGGGAGACCGGCCGCTCGGTGCACCCTGTCTATCAGGATGGAGTCCGGTGCCGAGTCAGGCAGCAGCGAGCTAAAGATGGCCTGGACCGAGGAACGGAGGTCCGCCGGTAGGGTCGCCTCCGGGAGCCCCCGGATCCGGATATTCTGGCGGCGGTTACGGTCCTCCATTTGTAGTTGGAGAGCCGTGAGCTGGTGCAGGGGTTTCCGCTGGGCCTCTTCGAGGCGCTGAACCTGGGCGTCTAGTGCTACACATGACTCCGAAACCGCGGAGACCTCCACTGAGACCGATTGTACCTCCTGGCGGACTTTACGGAGGTCCCGCTTGGAGCGCTTCCTCCACTCTCGTGACTAAGGCCGCAAAGTCCTCCTTGGTGGGTAAGTATTGCAAGAGGGCCCGAAATTCCCTCGGGATATCTGATTGAGGGTTGCGGGCATGCTAATGGTCCCCATCTGTAGAGTCCGATTCATACATCCTCGGCGACCTTGAGCCCTGGCGTCGGTCAAGAGAGTGAGCGATCCGTGGTGAGGGTGGCGGCCCAGCTTCCCGCGCCATATTGGATTGTTCTCGGTTGCGGTTCCGGGTCCGCGTTGATGTAAAATACCGCTGCACAGACGGTGTGCCCCGCTGCGATGGTGTTCCGCCATCCTTCCTGCGTTGAGACATTGTCGTGCAAGACTGTATGGAGTGGTATAAATGCTTGTAGATTGTCTGCATGTCGGGTGTACCACGGAGCTCTCAAGCCTTGCGACCTACTCCGCCATTAGCAGGACACGCCCCCCCTGCAATGTTTTCTTAGTTGGGCAATTTTTTTGCATTGAAAGCCTTAGGCCCCGTTCACACTGAGCGATTTATCGCGCGGTAATTCCCGCGATATCGCGGCTATTTACAGCGCGATTTTGCCGCGATTCTAGCTTGCTCAATGCAAGCATTTGCGCGATATCGGGGGACAAACGTGCGATATCTCGCAAAATGCACATCGCGCAACAAACGCGAGATTTGCGAATCGCTCAGTGTGAATGGGGCCTTACATATAACACGCTAGAAAGGTATTTCTTTCTCACCCAGGGACACCCAGGGAAATAATTTGGGTTATACTGCACACTACAGAAAGATTTAACTCGAAAACAAACAAAACTGTAAGCCGTCGCAGGGTAACCCCTCCTTTTACCAGCATGCTGCAGTTTTCTTTCTTGTGTCCTAGCAGGATGGATGTCCTTCTCTTCTTCTCTTCTAACCTGTATTTAATAGCATCATTTTTTCTTCAATTAACACTTTTCTATACTTTGCTGCTAGAGCTAGCCTCTTCAATTGCAGCTGTCTAGGAACGCTGTCTATAGTCTGGATTTGAGTGCTGCATTCAGACTCCACTGGTTTGGTTAAAATGCTGAACCTGCAGAACCCGTAGTTAAGAAACACCTGATCCTTCAAAGGACAATGTCTCTTCCAGTCTACTCTGGATGCCAATTCAGCAGTGTTACTGGTGACAAGACTACTTATCTTCCGCTGCGAAAGAAGCCTAAAGAACAAACCTCAGTCTTCTTTATTTATTAACAAACATCCCTTTTGTTTCTCCAATCCCGCATGTCTTGGCTCTCATGCCACCTCAGATACACACTCAAACAAACTTTCCTTGGTATGGCGGTGTGCCCAAAATTTTTCAGAGTTTGAGATGCAATCTGTCCACAAAGGTTAACAAACTCCTGGGTGTGGGAGGTGGTCTCCCAGGGACTACAAACTCAGTTTATCACTTTCAACCTTCCTCTGTCACTGCACAGATTAGCAGATCTCCATCTTGTCTTTGTTGACCATAATAGTAAAATACTTTTCTCATATCATAGAAAATTAACAATCTGCTTTGTTTAAATAGTGTAACCCACAAATGGAAAATCAGTTTGTTGAAATCTGTGTATGCTAGGGGTCTGGCGCAATGTTACTTGAGAAATCTTTAGCTTTATACCTGTCATTTTTTTGGTGTATGCACATGTATAGCCAGGTCTGTATTGAGAATAAAGGTCTTGTGGTGCATGTACTGTATATTGGTGAAAGCAAAAATCTTATGATTATTTAAGGTGAAAAATAAACTATGAATCCAAATATGTCATCACCTTATCAGGTACTGAATCATGCATTTTTCTTTGTTGCATATTTAACTGTATAATGATTGATTTCCTAGAATTTGTCACTATCGGCACTGTTAATTGCATGTCATTCTTCTGGAGGGTTACTTGATTCAGAACATCATTTGGACGTGACTGTAATTATAGACCTGCTGGTTCCTCTTTTCATTCCAAAGCAGGTAAAATACAGACAATATTTTGTGTAGTACTTGTAAAATGATTTCATGTAGAGATTTATGTATGTATTTAAAGGAGAACTGTGAGGGGAGTGCTTTTCACTCACCTCATAGTTCTAGCCGACCTGTGACAATGAGACTGTCACAGGTCGGCTCAGTAGATCGGGAGGTGAGCGAACACATACCGGCGTTCGCTCACTTCTCGATCCTGTCACGGCTCTCTGCCGTGACGGGGGAGGGACTGGATTGCCCCCGCTCCGATCCTCCAGCACTGACTGGTGGAACGGACAGGGGATGGGGCGGGTACAGCTGTCGCTCACACAGCTGGGCGGATCCAGACATAATTGTCGGGATCCGCTTCAGCATCTCAGTATACCGCGAGATGTACCTCGCGGTATACTGAGCTTAGGGTGACGGGAGGACGCTAGTTTGTGTCCTCCCGTTACCTTAAGGAGAACTATGGGGAAAAGCCCTAACCCCATAGTTCTCCTTTAACTCTTTTGTTGCCGTTGCCATATGGCATATGGTGGCAGCTGCAGAGCCCTGTAAGCAAACACCCAGCTGCTGTAGCAGCCAGGCGTCTGCTTGCATGTGTAAACACATGTTTACACTGGAACACTTTACAGCTGCCTGATCACTATTCAAGATTGTGAAATGTGAGTCCCCTATGTGATAGCAATAAAGTTAAGTAAAAAAATAAAGATAAATAAAATAAATTTAAAAACACACCAAAAAAATGTTAAGTCTCCTGAGTACATGCACATACTAAACCGAACACACAATTACAGTAGCCAGCACAGACAACTTTGTTGTCAGAATTGTGAAACCTTGACTCTAATGTAGTATATAGAAAGAGCAAATAGCCCTAAGGCTCCATTCACACACAGCGGTTGTAAATTCAGAGCGGTTTTCACGTGTTTGTCCGGGCGGCATGAAAACATGCACATTGTAACATACGCGCGGATTCCACGCGTTTGCAGCCGCTATAGACAAAATGCGCAGTCCACTCAGAATATTGCACCTCAACTTTTTTGCGCAACGTGCATTTTCGTACCTGTGCAGACACAGGTGTGAACAAGGTACATTGTACTGTATTAGTTTTTATGTTTTTAGCGCATCTCCTTGATGAAAACCACCAATGTGCGAAAAGAGCCTTAGCAGTGTTGTTGGCTTAGTGCAGCCATAAAATATATTTTGTACATGCTGTTTATGCTCAAACATTTCTTCATTTTGTGTGTTGGAATTTTGTTATTCACAGATATTCTGATTTGTTAATATTTTACTATTAAAATAATCTTTGAAATGTAATAATGAGTAAGAATATGTGGCATTTTTTGCTTCAGGTTGCTGGACAGCCTCTCCTGCAAGAAACATTTTGTCTTTTTTTGGCTCTTTTTTCATACTATACAAGGACAGTGGAACCGGGCAAGTTAATACAGGTATTGTTAACAACTTGAGTCCCAGGGCCTTTTCCCTTCCTTATTCCCCATGAGTTGCAGTGCATTTTTCTAATTTCAGAGATGTCTCTTATATTTTTTATTGTTTGTAGTCTACCCTAATGTATTAAATGTTTTTTTTTTCTAATTTTGTGGGACAGATAGGGATATTTTATTTGGTAGCAGATTTGTATACATTTTTATTTCCTAAACAATTTTAAAAATGCATTTTCTTGTGCATTTTTCATACTCATTTACACCGTTTGCTCACCCTCACTTTTACCCCCAAATTATAAGACTCTAAGTCTGATGATCAAAATTATATCACATAAGTGCAAGTTTTAGTTACCTAGTGAAGTGGTAAAGCGCGTAATGAATCTTTGTGTTTTACGTTACATTGTTTCAACGCTACATTGCTACGCCATAAGGAAAAAAAAGTTGTGAGTGAGAAGAAAGTAAAACTGTAATCTGTTTATGTTATAGTAAAATATATAACATCATTATCAATATCTCGTGTGTGTATATATATATATATGTTTTTATTTATGTAATCCTTTAAAAAAATATATTTTTGTCTGTGTATATAATATATATATCATTTTTATTAAAGGATTACATAAATAATATTTTGAAGGATTTTTTAAATATGACCACTGGGTTGGTAAAATTGAAGAACATCTTGGCGCTGCAATAATGCAATAAAAAAATGCAAGTTAAGTTATCTATTTGAGTTTAAGTGGGTGCTGGAAGTTGCACCTATTAGCAAAATCATGGCACTTTATACAGTATATTACTTCAGTATGTCTGTGGGTTAGGGCTGCCGCTAACGATTATTTTAAAAATCAATTAGTTAGCCGATTTATTACGTTCGATTAATCGGATAAAAAAAAAAGGCTCCAATGATGGACTATTAGTTTGTATTGAGATTGTAGTCCATCATGGGAGCAAGCTTGGAGCAGTGTAAGTAAAAAAAAAAAAAGTGTGGTGTGCAATATAGTAAATTTATACAGCGGTGCAATGCAGAATACCAGCAGCTTTAGAGGAATACAACAAATCGCAGCAATTGTACATTATGCTATACTGTACTATTGCTGGAATTTGTAATACTCTCTAGCTGCTGGTATTCTGCATTGCGCAGTATATAATGTATTATTGCTGGGATCTGATGTAGTCCTCTATAGCTGGTGGTATTCTGCATTGCGCTGTATAATGATTATACGGTGCAATGCAGAATACCACTGACCAGTTATAGCAGAACAACAAATCCCAGCAATAATACATTATACAGGCTGTTTGAGTATTATTACTGGGATTTGTTGTTCCTCTATACCTGCTGGTGTTCTGCAGTGTGGCGCTGTATAATATATATAGCGGCACAATGCAGAATACCACCGACCAGTTTTATATATATATATATATATATA